TGCTTTGATGATTATAGCAGTCAATAAAAGGTAAGTGGTAAAAGTATATAACACTAAATGTAAAATATATTGAGAAGAGTTAACTAATTATTTGAATTGTCAGTACTGGGGGGGTGAAGGGAACTGTTATGCTCCTGGTGAGAAAGTATACTGGCATAATTTTTCTAGAGAATACAAATTTTGGGGAAAATTTTTAATTGAAAACCTTTAATATATTTTTATTAATTTAGGTCTATGCACTCCACATGTAAAAATTAATACTAACAATTTGTGCAAATTTTAGTTTATAAAAATGTAAAGTATAATATTTAGAACTTGAATAAAATGAGATAATTTAGATGTCTGATAAAAGAAAGCTGATTATTTGGCAACAACCATGTTATAACAACTTGTTATGTCAACTCTGCAGCCATATCAATGATTTTGCATGAGAATTTTTTATAACAAGGAAATAAATATATCCATTCATATTATTTAATAAGTTAGCATGATAAAAGAATGGGTAAATTACCAAAAACAACAGTTCTGGAGTCAGAGGTCCAGTAGTAAAAGTTTGTATTAAAACTTGTACTTCTGGCACTTACTACGTAAGGTGGCAAACTGTTCAAACTTCCAATTTCTTTTTCTGTAAAAAGAAGAATAATTGTTCTTCTTCCCACCTCACTGTATATGTATATTAAAAAAGACAACACATTTAATGTTCTTAGCATTCTACCTGTTGCATAAGTGAACAAACCATACTATTGACAGAATAGCATAAATACATAATCTGTAAAATATGTACACATTTATGTTTATTTTTATTTAAATATGGATATTGATAAGATATACATATAATAATAACCTCAACTGTTTATTGCTTATTTCCATGGATCAAAGTATAAATTTTATTGAGTTTGCTTGTTTGTTTGCTTTGGTTTAACTGTGTTCCCTAAATTCTGTATGTGGAAGAGAGTGTGAGTCATGAATTCTGCTCCAAAAACAAAGAACCCTAATATCTGAGCATCTTTAAACATAGGTTTATTTCTTCCTCATGCTAGAGGTCCCTCAGTGGTATCAGCACAGGTTTCTGCTAACACCAGGCTAATGGATCAGCCACCATCTCAAACACTCCAACCCCCCAGGAAAGATGGAAAAGGAGATGGCAAATCTCTTACTGCCTCTTAAGCTTCTGCTCTGAAATTACACATATCACTTTTGCTCACATTTTTTGACCTAAGCCAGCCTCAGACCCAGGAAGAGAACCTCAACAAGAATGAAAATATATTTCTAAGCCAAGAAGAGTTTAAAACTAATGTAACCTAGCTTAAGCCATTTTCAGTTTTTGAGAACATTGAAATGAAAACAAAATTGTCCACCATGCCCAGAAATTAGGATGAACAATTATATATCCATATAGACTATATGAGAGTTATCTAAATTAAATAAAAAGATTCATAGGCAAAATATATAAATCAATGAAGCAGAGGATTAATTAAGAATGTAAGAGATCACTAAGTTATTCCCTTACTTTCGAGACAAAGAGATCCCACACTTAGCCATGACCAGCAAAGACAAGTAATCTAATTCCATCTCCAGTTGGAAAATGCCTTCACCTGGTACCTGAAATGGGCTATACTGAGACACTTCAGTAAATTCTACCAAGAGAGTTTTTTTTCCTTGGCCCTGGGCTGGTAAACTGAAGAAGCTCCCTCTCTTGAAAACTAATGGGTCTTGTAATTGCTTTTCTCACTTGTGTAACCATGCTGCAGTTGTCATTTATAAACTACATACAAAACTAATCCTTTGGAAGTTTTCATATTGGCTATTTGCTTTGAAACATCCAAACTCAAGTGCCATTGACTTTGCAGATATAGCACTATGAGAAAGGAGGGGTCTGTCTGAGCATTTGTTCAAGCACTGGATTGGCTCTCATAAATTCTTGGTTTTATTCTTAGAATCCTTATGTTTTGCTATGGTACTTCACTCATCTATAAAGTACTTCAAAAGGCTTAAATAAATTATTTTAAAATGCTTAAATGTCATAATTTAATATATGTATTCAATACTTTTTTAATAAAATAAATTTAAATATACCCTATCACATAAAAACGGTAGCTAACTTTATTAGTTAATCTCTAGAAAGGTAAGAGACAAATATGTGTTTATCAGAGTTCATTAAAAGTGTATATATACAACCATTATGGAAAACAGTATGGAACTTTATAAAAAAACTAAAAATGAATATGCCTTTTGACCCAGAAATTCCACTGCTAGGATTATATCCTAAGAATCCTGAACCACCAATCCAAAAGAACTTATGCACCCCAATGTTCATAGCAGCACAATTTACAATAGCCAAGAGTTGGAAGCAACCTAGGTGCCCATTAGTAAATGAATGGAACCAAAAACTATGGTACATTTGCACAATGGAATTCAATGCAGCAGAAAGAAAGAAGGAGCTCTTACCCTTTGCAGTAGCATGGATGGAACTGGAAAGCATTATGATGAGTGAAATAAGCTAGGCTGTGAAAGACAAATACCAGATGATCTCACCTTTAACAGTAACCTAAACAACAAAACAAACAAGCAAGCAGAATAAAAACAAAAGACACTGAAATAGAGAATAGGGGGACAGTGACCAGAGGGGAGAGGGGAGGGAATTTAAGGGGAAAAAGGGGAAGGATTTACAGGAACAAGTATAAAGGGCACATGGACAAAAACTAACAGGAATGAAAATGGGAATGAGATGGGGAGCACTGGAGGGGTGGGCTGGGATGGAAGTAAAAGACAAAAAAACTGTACTTGAACAATAATTTTTTTAAAAAATACAAAAATGTATGTATAAAGCCAATGAGAATCTTCTTACATTCACACTATATTAAAAACATTATAGAAAAATAAAAAACAATTGGTAAATACATAAATTTAGAGTGATTTTCTGTTTGAGAGATATTTTGTAGGCTTTTGTTTCCTTTAAATTACATGATTTAATTTCAACAAAAAAGAATGAATAAATAACAATAGTCTGAGGGATGCTAATTTTTTAAATATTTGTTAATTTTTACAGAGAGAGGATGAGAGGGAGAAAGAGAGAGAGAGAAGAAGTGAAGTGAGAGAAAAACACCAATTGACTGCCTCTCATGAGCACCCTAATAAATCAGAGATCAAACCGTCAACTCAGGCATATGCCCTGACTGAGAACTGAACTGAAGACAGACTGACAGCCACACCCATCAGGGCTAATTTTTAATCATTTTTTTTTATTTTAAAAGCATGATAAACTCACTCAAGCACTATAATGGCAATATTGTATTAATGTACATAGAACACTGGTTTTTCTCTAGGTTTATAGGTGGTAGATGGAATAAGTCAGAAATGTTTGTGAAATAAAAAGAAATTCTTTTTACCCATATCTTATCTTCCTACTTAAAATTTTTAGGAATAATACAGGAAAATACCTATGGTACAAATAATTTTGAAGACTTTGGGAATTTTCTAAATAAGAAAAACTGTAAGTAATTAAAAAAAGAAGATAGTAATAAATAATATCAAGAATATGTGGAAATTGGAACCCTCATGTATTGCTCATGGGAATGTAAAATTGCTGGTGGGAATGTAAAATGGTATAGTCACCTTAAAGATAATACCTCTAAAAGTTAAAAATGGAGTTTTATATGACCCAGAAATCCCACTAATGTGTATAAACCCAATAGAAGTTAAAACACGGGTCTCACAAAAGCTCATATATGAATGTTTCTAAAATATTACTCATGGTGGCCAAAATGTAGACACAATCCAAATGTCCATTAAGAGATAAATGGATAAATACCTGTGATTTATCCATACAAATGAATATATTCAGCCCTAAGAAGGATTGATGGTCATACTACAAGATGGATAAACCAATGATAAAGGCTACATATTTTATAATTCCATTTATATCAAATACCCAGATTAGGCAAATTCATAGGAACAAGAAGTAAATTAATAGTTTCTAAAGGTTGAGGAAAAAGGGGGAATGGGGAATGACTGGTAAGGAATACAAAGATTCTTTTGTGGTAGTGAAAATGTTCTACAATGAGATAGTGGTGATAGTTGCATAATTCTGTTAATATACTAAAAACTACCAAGTTGTATACTTTAAACAAGTGTATTTTATGTTATTGGAATTGTATCTCAATAAAATATTCATTAAGTATTCATTTTTCAAAGAGTAAACTGCAACACATAATTAAATTTCTGGTCTAACATTCAGATAATAACAGTTTTCCTTTTTTTCCTCTAATGAATGACATACGTAATGACTTTAATGACCAGTTCTTCTAAAATAATATTTCATAGTAACTTTGCCATTTTCATATTAGAAGTGATATTGTATTTCTAATTTTGACAAATCCAAAAGAATGGCACCAGTTTTCCTCTAGATGAATTCTTCCATCTCTAATTTGTACTGATATGGTACCAAGTACACACCTGAGAAAACATGTATTCTAGAACAACAAAAGACTATTCAGAACTATCTGTTCATACAAAGCTCTTTCAAAAGCCAACACTCTCCTTTGAGACACCAATGTTATTGAGTTTCAATGAACAATTAGATGGTCTCATTCAGAAAGTTCTGAGAAAATATTCAAACTTTTTTTTCTTTTTAATGTATCATTGAACTGAATTGAACTGGACTGAAATTGAGCAAAACTAAAAGCTAAAGAGGATTAATAGCATATGAGTGTCTAAGTAAGACAGAGAGAGATTATATTTTTCTGTGTACTTTCACTCATGGAACTTCGATGTTTTTTTCTGTTTTTTTTAAATTAAATTTATTGGGGTGACATTGGATAATAACCTTATACAGGTTTCAAGTGTACAATTCTATGATAGATCATCTGTATGTTTTATTAGTTCTTGAAAAACTAATCTTTCAGGAATCTTAGCTATCTTTAAATAAGATATATGTGAACTGAATTCATTTGACTGATAGGATTAGGAGGCAGTGGCAAGGCCTCAGAGCCCTCACTTACCCCTTCCAAAGCAAGGCAGATCAGAGCTTCCTTGGCACTTCTTGATGCTCTCCTCGGGTGACAGTGGGCAGGAATGTGGATGCTCACACTTTTTCCCATACCAGTCTGCTTTGCAGTCACATCTTCCACAATTACATTGTCCATGACCTTCACAATGAGAATAGTTTATATATATATATATATATATATATATATATATATATATATATATATATATATATAATATATTGAAGTCAGAATTCATTTCATTTCAAAAGGAAATGTCACAAATGAGTCAGGATCTTAACAATATAAAAGATTAAGCTTGGATGGAACTAGAAAGCATTATGCTGAGTGAAATAAGCAAGGTGGTGAAAGACAAATACCATATGATCTCACCTTTAACAGGAACCTAAACAACAAAACAAACAAGCAAGCAGAATAAAAAAATGGCACTGAAATAGAGAACAGGGGGACAGCAATCAGAGGGGAGAGAGGAGGGAATTTCAGGGGAAAGATTTACAGGAACTAGTATAAAGGACACATGGACAAAAACTAAGGAGGGTGGAAATGGGAGGGAGGTGGGGAGCAGGGGGCTGGGGGCTGGGATGGGAGTGAAAGACAGAATACTGCACTTGAAAAATAATTTAAAAAATAATAAAATAAAATAAAAAAGATTTCTCAAAAAAAATAATAAAACATTAAGGCAAAAGCACATTTTTCTCAAGTTCTTAAATACCTATTTTTTATTAATTGCTCATGAGGTATAAAGAAAAGCAACTACTCCTGATAAGAAAGAGGTTTGTGGGGCTATAAACTTGAATTTACTAAAATCTATATGCATGTGATTATATTGGCCTATTTGGGCCTACAAGGGGTATCTTATGAATTTGGCAATTCATTCATGTGGAGGAAAATGTTAGAAATGCAAAACAATTTTTGAAGCAGGGTCTTTTAGAGTGACTGACACTTTATTTTCATTATTTTTTTGCCACACACCACATACTTAGCCTCAAAACTAATAACCTGTGTGGAGTTCGCAATTCTTGAAGACAAAGTTAACACACACTAAAGAGGTTAGGAAAGGTATTAAATTTCTTTACATACTGACACACAGCCTGTAAAGAACTATGATAAGCAGTAGTATAGGATAACCAGAAAAAAAAAGTCTTATATCAATCAAATGATCAGGTTTAAATCCTGTTCCTGCTACCTACAGAGAAGGTATGATCAAAATACTACCTCATCAAAATTTAATTCCTTCATTTTTAAATGGAATATAATGTATTATCTATTCACATTTATCAAGAAGTGCATATCTCAAAATGCTGCATAAAAGTGAGCTATTATTATTTTTACTTGCTTGAGTTCACATATGTAACTAAGTAGAAATAGGAAGGAAAGCAGGATTAATTCACCTGAAATTTTTCTAACTCTTGGGAAACATTGTGATACTCACTTCAGATACAGAACAACAAGGATTTCTACGATTGCTACAAAAATGTATGAAAAATTTTAAAGGAAGTAAAATTACAGTTTAGGTAAATCAAATATAATGCTAGTGGATAAAAATCCATGCTATTTTGCCATTGGCATCTGATATTGATATATATCACACTATGGAAATTGGTCTTCAGTAAAGAGTGGCCAGCTTTATCAATATTACATGAGGTTTGGGGGTAGATGCCTATCTTCTGAATATGAAGAATTGAATCATCCACATTTCAGGAATCTTTTCACCATCAATTAATGTGATTCTTCATGGAACAAACCATAAAATTTTAGGTCAAAGTGAGGTGAGAGATTAGGAATCATTGAATACAAATCTCTTATTTTTAACACTAGATTCAATTCAAAGGATATTTATTGAGTGCCTAGTATGTAATAAAGTCTAAACAATAAATTGCTATCTTAATATTCTGCCTTAGAACTCATCATTTTAAAGGAAATAAAATTCCAAATACTAGTAAGTATGTGTAAGGTGAATAGGATCCTTTAGAATTTCAAATATGATAATTTTTAAAATCCTTATCCAAGGATATGTCTATTGATTACAAAGAGAAAAGAGGGGAAAAGGGGAGAAAGGATGAGAGAGGGAGAGAGAGAGAGAGAGAGACAGAGAGAAAGACATCAGTGTGAGAGGGGAGTCATCAGTCAGTTGCCTCTCATACCAGACCTGGGACGAAACCCACAACCTAGGCATATACCCTGACTGGGAATCTAACCACGACCTTTTGATGTATGAGATGATGATCCAACCAACTGAATCATCCAGCAAGAGCAAGAGACTTATTATTTTTATATGATGTTATTAGAAATTAGATTTCATTGGTTGTTAGGTTCTGTGGTTTTTGCCATTTCTCCCAGCTTAAGAAATCAGTACCCTTATTTTCTTTTTTTGTTGTTGTTGTTTTGTTTTATTTTTAATAGTAAAATTTTTATTCAATTATTTTTCAAATACAGTATTCTGTCTTTTACTCCCATCCCAGCCAGACCCCCATGTGCCCCCCACCTCCCTCCCATTTCCACCTCCCTTAGTTGTTGTCCATATGTCCTTTACACTAGTTCCTGTAAATCCTTCCCCTTTTTCCCCTGAAATTCGCTCCCCTATCCCCTCTGGTTGCTGTCCCCCTGTTCTCAATTTCAGTGTCTTTGTTTTTATTCTGCTTGCTTGTTTGTTTTGTTGTTTAGCTTCCTGTTAAAGGTGAGATCATATGGTATTTGTCTTTCACCACCTGGCTTATTTCACTCAGCATATTGCTTTCCAGTTCCATCCAAGCTGTTGCAAAGGGTAGGAGTTCTTTCTTTCAGCTGCATAGAATTCCATTATGCATAAGTACCACAATTTTTTGATCCATTCATTTACTGATGGGCACCTAGGTTGCTTCCAACTCTTGGCTGTTGTAAATTGTGCAGCTATGAACATTGTGGTGCATAGGTTCTTTGAAATTGATGTTTTAGGATTCTTGAGATATAATCCTAGCAGTGGAATTGCTGGGTCAAAAGGCAGGTAGATTTTTATTTTTCTGAGAAAATTCCATACTGTTTTCCATAATGGTTGAACCAGCCTGCAATCCCACCAACAGTGAACTAAGAACCCCTTTTCCCCACAACCTCTCCAACATTTGTTGTTTGTTGCTTTGTTTATGATAGCCATTCTGACTGGTGTAAAGTGGTATCTGATTGTGGTTTTAATTTGCATCTCTCTGATAGCTAACAATATTGAGCATCTCTTCATGTGTCTCTGGATGTTCTGTATGTCCTCCTTGGAGAAGTGTCTGTTCAAGTCCTTTTCCCATTTTTTAATTGGGTTGGTTGTCTTCTTAGAGTGGAGTCCTGTAAGTTCTTTGTATATTTTGGAGATTAAACCTTTGTCTGAAGTATCATTGGCAAATATGTTTCCCCATATGGATGGTCGTCTTTTTAATTTAATACTGTTTTCTTTAGCCATGCAGAAGCTTTTTATTTTGATGAGATCCCATTTGTTTATTCTTTCCTTTATATTCCTTGCTCTAGGGGACATATCAGTAAAAATGTTGCTGCATGGAATATCTGATATTTTCTTGCCAATGTTCTTTTGTAGGACTTTAATGGTGTCACAGCTTATATTTAAGTCTTTTATCCACCTTGAATTTATTTTGGTGTATGGTGTAAGTTTGTGCTCAAGTTTCACTTTTTTTGCATGTAGCTGTCCAGTTCTCCCAACACCATTTGTTAAAGAGGCTATCTTTACTCCATTTTATGTTACTGCCCCCTTTGTCAAATATTAATTGACTGTAGAGAGTTGGGTTGATTTCTGAGCTCTCCATTCTGTTCCATTGGTCTATGTGCCTGTTTTTATGCCAGTACCAGGCTGTTTTGATTACAGTGGCCTTGTAATACAGTTTGATATCAGGTGTTGTGATCCCTCCAACTTTGTTCTTCTTTCTCAAGATAGCAGCTGTTATTCAGGGTCATTTATCGTTCCATATAAATTTTTGAAGTGTTTTTTCTATGTGAAATAAGCCATTGACTTTGTAACATGCTGTTTTACCAAATTCATTTATTAGTTCGGGCAGTTTTTGAGTAGGGTCTATAGGATTTTCCATGTACACTATCATGTCATCTGCAAAATAATGACAGTTCTGTTTCCTCCTTTCATATTTGGATGCCTTTTATTTCCTTTTCTTGTCTGATCTCTGTGGCTAAAACTTCCAGTATTATATTGAATAGAAATGGTGAAAGTGGACATCCTTGTCTTGTTCCTGATCTTAATGGAAAAGATTTTAGTTTTTGCCCATTGAGTATGATGTTGGCTGTAGGTCTCTCATATGTGGCCTTTATTATATTCAGGAATGCTACCTCTATTCTGACTTTGCTGAGTGTTTTTATCATAAATGGGTGTTGTACCTTATCAAAAGCTTTTTCTGCATCTATTGATATGATCTTGTGATTTTTGTCTTTGCTTTTGTTTATGTGATGTATTACATTTACTGATTTGCAAATATTGAACCATCCTTGTATCCCTGGGATGAATCCCACTTTGTCATGGTGTATAATCTTTTGGATATATTGTTGGATGTGATCAGCCAATATTTTGTTGAGGATTGTAGCGTCTATGTTCATCAGCGATATTGGCCTGAAGTTTTCTTTCTTTGTTGTGTCTCTATCTGGTTTTGGAATTAGGATGATGCTGGCTTCAAGAAAAGAGTTTGGGAGTTTTCCATCCTTTTGGATTTTTTGGAATAGTTTGTGAAGAATAGGGGTTAGCTCTTCCTTACATGCTTTGTAGAATTCTTCTGTGAACCCATCTGGTCCAGGGCTTTTGTGTGATGGGAATTTTTTGATTGCTGCTTCAATTTCTTTTGCTGTTATTGGTCTCTTCAGGTTTTCTACTTCATTTTTATTGAGTTTTGGGAGATTATATTTTTCTAGAAATGTGTCCATTTCCCCTAGGTTTTCAACTTTCTTGGCATACAGTTCTTCATAGTAATTTCTTACAACCCTTTCTATTTCTGTGGTATCAATCGTAATCTCTCCTGTTTCATTTCTGATTGTGTTTATTTGTGTCTGCTCTCTTCTTTTCTTGATGAGCCTACTTAAAGGCTTGTCTATTTTGTTTATCTTTTCAAAGAACCAACTCCTGGATTCATTGATCCTTAGGATTGTGCTTTTAGTCTCTATGTCAT